AATTTGTACGATCTAGTTCGTACAGTTTAGTACGATTTGCTCATCACCCAATGACAGTTGGGTTTAGGGGTGGGGTTAGATGCCACGCCTCCTTTTTAAAATCGTACAATTTCGTACAAATGAACTCGTACAAATTCGTACGAATTAGCCACTAAACTGGCAAAACATAAAATACTTACGTTTTCTGGTGAGATCAGGCTGATATAACCTAAAATGTACATACATGTTCATTCATTTCATTCGCTCATTTTCCTTTAGCTTAGTCCCTTTATTCATCAGGGTCCTTTTATTCCACAGCGGAATGAACCACCAACTATTCCAACATATGTTTTACACAGCAGATGCCCTTCCAGCTGCAACCCAGTACTGGGAAACACCCATACACACTCATTCACACACATATACATTCATTCATTCATTTATTCATTTTATTTTTGGCTTAGTCCCTTTATTAATCCAGGGTCGCCACAGCGGAATGAACCGCCAACTTATCCAGCACATGTTTAACACAGCGGATGCCCTTCCAGCTGCAACCCATCACTGGGAAAGATCTATACACACTCATACACTACAGCCAGTGTAGTTGATCAGTTCCCCTATAGCGCATGTGTTTGGACTGGGGGGGAAACCGGAGCACCTGGAGGAAACCCACGCCAACACGGGGAGAACATGCAAACTCCACATAGAAACGCCAACTCATCCAAAAGGGACTCAAACCAGCGACCTTCTTGCTGTTAGGGGACAATGCTAACCACTAAACCACCGTGTCCCCTTGTCTACACATGTAGTATGCCATAAGTTCAACACTTTAAAGGCACTGGCATAGCTAGGTTAGGAAAAAAATCATTAATAAAACATTTATAATTGTTTATTCTGTGAAATGTTGTGGGCAAATGTCATTATTTCGCTTTGATGTATTTTTAAAATTAATATATGAAAATGATTGGTTCTGCTGTTGTTTATAGCCTTTACAACGAGGAGTTCTCATGTCACATTTCAATCACCACATTAATGTAAAAACAGTAATTATATTGAGTATTATTCATATTATTGATTAAATTACACATTGAATTGTAATTTATTAACCACTACCCATAGCCTAACCATCACAGTGATTGTAAAACAGTAATTATATCGAGAATTATTGATTAATTTACCCAGTAAACTGTAATTTTTTATCGACTACCCCTATAATTATTGTTGTACAGTGTCACAAATATTATACTATATTGATGTGCACACCACAGCTGTATCCCTACTTGACGTTACCCGTGTATCTCACCTGCACAACGCGCATGTCCAGTCCGGTTTCCGTGGACAGCTGCTCGCGCACGTGCCGCGCGGGTTTCGGTGAGTTGTTGTACGCGTTTTTCAGCGTCTCGAGCTGCTTGGCGGTGATTGTCGTGCGGGGTCGCTTTGCTGTCGAATCCGCCTCTGGAAGAAGAGCACAGACACATCATGAAAACGAATTTATTCTGCAATCACCATATGCATCAAGTAGAATGCGCCATTAAAGGGATAGTTCACTAAACAATTGAAATTCAGTCGTCATTATTCGGTTTAGTTTGGTAAACAAAAATGACGATATTTGTTGGGAAAATCGGCCGTATGTGACTTACATTGTGTTTTATTGTTTCTACTATGCAGCTTTTTGTCCAACATTCTCAGTGTTTTGTGTTCAACAGAAGAAATAAACTCAAACCAGTTTAGAATCACTCGATTGGGGCTTTTTTGAAGTGAGCTGTGCATGTTTTGATGCTGTAAACTTAATCTCATATCCTTTTTTTGTTGCATGATTTCACATAAAATCTTACTTTAATTATAAATGCCAATCTAGCCGATACATTTAACCTTAATTACTTTAAATAGATGCCAATCAATCCGATTATTATTATTTAAACCAGGCTACATTAGGAAATGCCACGGTGAAATATTAAAACAATTAAAAGAAACATGTGAAGCTGAATTTACACTAGTTAGCCAGCTTTAATGTAAGTTTATCTGCAACCTGTGTTATATGTTTGCATTATTTTAATTTTAATCGCATTGTTTTGTTGCGTATTAGCTTTAGTTGAAACGGGAATGGTGGGATTTATATATGTTTTTGTTCGGATTTATTCAGAAAACTAATATGCATGAAATCTTTCAACTGCACAACATGTTAAAATATTCTTCCTTTATTGGGAAAACATTCTTCAGATTATTTAAATGTTCTTATAAGTCATTCGTTCATTTATTCATTCATTTGTTATCTCGTTTATTTATTTATTAGAAACCCAGAAAGGTTTTCACCAAGCAATTCCATATGTTTATTAGACGTCTGTTAGACATCTAAACACCGATGTATAAATGTGTACCATCTGAATAAACTAAACAGACACCTAAAAATGCCTAAAATTAGACTAGAAATTAAATAAAACGTTTTGACAAACTTCAAATTAGTATTCAATTCATTCCTGATGAATGGTCTAGTTTTGGGATATTCTTTAGACGTCTATTAGATTTCCACTTACAGCCCAATATTTATCATTAGACTTGTTTTAGCCAAACCATCTGTGTTTAGATGTTTATTAGACGTCTATTAGACTTATTTTAAACACACAACTCCGTATGCACACTATTGAACATTTACACTGTATACGCCAACATGCACAATACCCAAAAGCAGAGATTTGCAGCGCATGTGTGTTTACTCCTCAATTGATCACACTATAAGAAGCATTCCTGACTCCATCTCCAAATATATCACTGTAGCTTCATCGGATTTGTGCAATATTGAAAGCGCTGAATCGGGCTGAAAGTGGCCGGCAGCGGAGCGCGCGTGTATCGGGCTCCATTCATCAGCTCCGCGCGGCTCTCCGGCGCTCCTGCTCCCGCTGGCACTTATCGATTGGGGGCTGGCGGGTTCGCAATTACCTGAGCTGGGTCAAATGTTTATGGACGAGCCACGACCGGCGAGATTAAGTTCAGAGTTAAAAGCTGCCGATCAATGCCAGGTCATCGAATGAAGGAAGCAAAAACTGTAGCAGCTCTACAAAATGCTGGGTTGTTGTAACCTGTAACGTTGAGTCAAATATGGACACAAGTGTGATTTGAACTTAATTAAAAAATAACTTTGGAATTGTCAATATTTGACCCAGAGTTTGGCTAAAATGTTGTTGTTGTTGTTTTTTGTAGTTATTATTATTATTATTATTATTACCCAGACGTTATGCTTGTCCATTTATTTGATCCACTGTTGTTGTTGTTGTTGTTGTTTTAACTTAATTTAATTTACCTTTTTTCACCCAAACATTGGGTTTGTCCATAACTGACAAAACGTTTGGTTAAAAATTTACATTTATTAAAAAAACTGCTTTGGGTTTCTCCATGTTTGACCCCAAATCTAGTGTTTTTCCCCAATTTAATTTAAATTACACTTTTAAATGAAGAGTTGTTGGGTTTGTCTATATTTGACAATGTTGGGTTAGCCTACGCTTTAGTCTCTACAAATGCTGGGTTGTAGTAAGCTTTAACGTTGAGTCAAATATGTGATTTAAACTTTAAATAAACAAAAACTTTAAATAAATAAATAAATAAATAAATAACCCTACTTTGGGTTTGTCGATATTTGACCCAGAGTGTGGCTATAATGTTGTTTTTATTAACCAGACATTAGGTTTGTTCATTTAGTTAATCCACGTTTTTTCAACTTTGGTTTCATTTAATTTTTATTTATTTATTTTTTTTACATTTAATTTGGTCCATTTTTGACCCAAATGTAGGTTATTTTCCCCAATTCAATTCAAATTACGCGTTTAAATCAGTAGTTGGGTTGGTCTATATTTGAGACAATGGTTAACCTGCACTTTAATCACTCTACAAAATGCTGGGTTGTCGTAACCTGTACCGTTACAGGTAATATGGACACAAGTGTGATTTAAACTTATTAAAAAACAACTTTTGGTTTGTCGATATTTGACCCAGAGTGTGGCTAAAATGTTGTTGTTTTTAATTATTATTAAACAAAGGTTTGTCCATATATTTGATCCACTGTTGTTTATTTTTCAGTTTGATTTACTTGACCCTTTTTCACCCCCAAAATTGGATTTGTCCATAATTGACAAAACGTTTGGTTAAAAATTTACATTTAATTGAATTTTCCTCAATTTAAATTTTTTTTTAAAATTTTAAATAAGTATTTGGGTTGTCTATATTTGACACAACCTTGAGTTAGCCTATACGCTTTAGTTAAAATGCTGGGTTGTTGTATCCTGTAACGTTGACTCAAATTTGGATACACGTGTGATTTTAACTTAAAAAAACAACAACTTTGTGTTTGTCGATATTTGACCCAGAGTTTGGCTAAAAGTTTTTTTTTTTTTAATTATTATTAATCCGACGTTAGGTTTGTCCATATTTGATCCAGGTTTTTTTCAGCTTGGGTTAAAAAGTGTTACAAATAAGTGTTTTTTAACATTCAATTGGGTTTGACTCTTAGTTTTTTTCCCCAATTTAATTTAGTGACACTTTTTCGCCCAACTTGTTTGTGTTTGTCTATATTTGACAAAACGTTTGTTACATTTAATTAGAAATAAATAAAATATAATGTTTGACCCCAAGGTTATTTTTCCCCGAATTAATTTAAGTGACACTTTTTACGCAATGTTTGGGTTTGTCAATATTTGACTCAACGCTGGGTTAAACCAATCAACCATTGCTATATGTGACAAGCGTGATATTTGTGACCTGTTTGTAACTTAAATGTGCCTAGACATGCGCAAAGCGAGCAGCTGCTGTACCTCTCTGTTTGGCCGTCTCGTAGTCCGCTTTGCACACCAGCCGACTGTCCTCCATCAGGTAGTACTCGTCCCCGGTGGCCAGCTGCCTCTTGCACACGATACAGGCGAAGCAGTGCAGGTGATAGACGAAATCCTGCGCCCTGCGGACCACCTGCGTCGGCGGAATCCCCTGCTGACACGCCGCGCACTTGGTGCCAAACCTCCTGCTCACAAAACACAGGCAAACCCTGGTCAGGGGAGATCTGAAGCGAGAAGATGACCCACGTGAAAAATACTGTGGTGTTGGGTTGTTTTCAAGCCAACGCTGGGTCAAATGTGCACAGACACACAGCATGGGTTTAAAAGTGCACTGTAGAAATAGATTGGTTCACTCATTGCCTTATAATTGTGAAATATGCCTGCAAAATAATAAAAGTCAATGGATTCACTGACTTTTTAAAGTAAAATCCACTCGTTGCTTTAAAGGCAACCGCTTTAAATGGGTTAAATTTGACACAAACATTGGGTTAAAATGGTTTAAATCGAATACTTTTCGTATGGTTTGTCCACACTTGACTTTAAAACGTTGTGTTGAAACAACCCAGAATTGTTTTCATTGTATACAGAACATATACATATTCTGTAGTGTTGGGTTATTTTTTAACCCAACGCTGGGACCAAAAGCACAAAAGTCGGATTTAAAAGTGTGATTTTAAATTTAATAATAATAAAAAACTTTGTGTTTGTCTGTATTTGACTCTGTGTTGGGTTAATATGGTTATTTACATTGTTTATAAATATCCCAACTTTGAGTTTGTCCATGCTTGAATCAAGGTCAGAGTAAAACAACCCGGATTTTATTGAATGTATAGAACAGAGCTCATTTACTGTAGTGTTTTTGAACATTACAATGAAAGTAACTGCTTTATGTAAGCAAGCCACACTTACTAGTCAATTTCCTCCAGCTAGATTATACAGAATGTATGATCAGCTTTGCAGTTTTTGCTGTGTATATTAATATTTTAAGGACATTTTACACGTTATGTTTTGGAATCTCACTTTTGATGCAATCAATAACTCAGCCAATCAGAGTGTTTGGTAAAATGATCAGTTACTCTAAATCATTATAATGCACACTGTTCACCAACTCTGTTTCACAGGCAACTTTTCATACAGTTCTTCATACTGTTGGATACATTAACAATCTAAGTACTCTAATATGATGTAGTAACTTGTAAGGTATACTACAGCACACTTTACTATAGATAACACTCATATGCTGCGTATACCACTGCGTTCTACAACTGTATTTTACTGTAGACACTCCTAAAGGCTGTGTTTCTCAACCACGTTCCTGGCGGAGCACCAGCTCTGCACATTTCCATGTCTCCTTAACCAAACACACCAGATTCAGGCCATCAGCTCATTAAGAATGGGTGCGACAGAGAAAGGAGACATCCAATGCAGTGCTGGTGATCTTCCGGGAATGTGGTTGAGAAACACTGCTATGGTGTGTGGGGGAGCAGGAGCACTGACTTGAAGAAGTCGTCTTTGCAGTACACGCTGTCTCCTCTGCTGAAGCATTTGTCGGCCAGCTGAGACTGACAGTCGCTGCATTTCAGACACTTGCTGTGCCAGTGGCGATCCAGAACCTTCAGGATGAAACGATCCACGATGTGCTGATTACAGCCCGCACAGACCGGGATATCTGCGGGTTGAACACAAGACCTGTAATGTTAAACTCTGTAGATATCAGAACATGTAACCCGACATTAACATGCGTCTTCGACATTCCAGCTGCGCGGAAATCAACAGCGCAACTGGGCTGCAACAATAATATGCGTATTGTGTATTGAATGTTTTATTAGTTGTGTATAATTTTGATTTACATTATTGCACCGTAATCTTGTAAAGATTGCTATTTGTAATCGTTTGCAGTGCTGTTGTCTGGGTTGGTGTTGTATATTACGCATCAAACACCTTGTAATAAACCGCAACACATTTCACAAACTCATTTCTCTAGATATTATATCTTATTCATTCATTCATTCATTCATTCATTCATTCATTCATTCATTTTCTTGTCGGCTTAGTCCCTTTATTAATCCGGGGTCGCCACAGCGGAATGAACCGCCAACTTATCCAGCAAGTTTTTACTCAGCGGATGGCCTTCCAGCCGAAACCCATCTCTGGGAAAATATCTACACTATATTAATATTTTAAATGTCACTAAACGTCTCTTTGTTAAACTGTGTTAACATTAAAAGTGGACAGAGCGGAATTCACAACCGTAAATAAACACAAAACACACTTAATATACGGAAACTGTGTGTGTGTGTGTATATGTGTGTGTGTGTGTGTGTTGCCAGATTGAGGTGAATAACTGCTTTGCGATTTGAATAATTTGTCAATTTTGTGAGGTGAAGAGTTTCATACAAGGTCTGGCAACTTGACAAACTTGGGGGAAAAAGTCCATGCGGGAGATTCCCGGGAGAATCAACTAAACGAGAGGGTGGCGGGCGTAAAATATGAGAGACTCCCGGGAAAGGCATCAGACCTCCGGTTTAGCATATGCATCATCAGCTTTTTATGTTAACAACAACAATACACGCCAAAAACGCTGGGTAGTAGCTATTAAAGGGAAAGTTTATCACAAAATATAGTTTACTCACGTCTTTATTAATCAGTTCTAAACTTTTCTGAGTTTCTTTTATCTGTTTGAACACGAGAGAAGATATTTTGAAGAATGTTGGTAACCATTGACGTCTATGGGAAAAGAAAATACTGTCAATGGTTACTGGGCATTGTTCAAAATATCTTCCTTTGCGTTGGTTCAACAGAAGAAAGTCAAATAGGTTTGCAAGTGAAGGAGTAAATGATGACACTGACACTCTAACCCAGCGTTGGGTTAAAGTTAAACAGTTAATTTTTACAATTTAAATAAACATCTTTGTTTAATGGTTAATTAATGATGTTAAATAAGAATGCATTGTTAATTCTGTTGTTGTGTTAATGACCATGCAAAATGCTTTCCTCGCAGCGGCATTACTCAATATTTAATTGAAAATTTAGTTAAACATCCCCTAACATCGTTAGTTAATGTTTAATTAAATATGTTAAATAATTATTTATTATTCATTCATTTTTCTCCGGCTTAGTCCCTTTATTTATCAAGGGTCGCCACAACGGAATGAACCGCCAACTTATCCAATTTTACACAGCAGTAATTTACACTCTAAAAATATTCAACCCATATACACGTAAAATAAGCACAAACTCAGCTGGTTTACATTAGTAAATTAAATATATAACCAAACTTGAACCCAGATTTAATTGTACACAAATTCCTGTGAAAAGCCCACACTGAAATTGTCCTTGCTAATTAGGACATTTTCTTTATTTTCATCTTCGTTATTAAGGCGGCATTATGGCACTTTTTATTTAAGAAATAATTATCATTTATTTTCAGTTTGCTGCTTTTGTTTATTAGTTTGCCTCGATTGTTGTAAGCTGAAAGTGGTCAGTCATATTATCGGGATTAAATGTAGGTTATTTTAATGCCGAAATCTGGATTTTTCATTTCTTCCACATGCTTTATCTGTATTTAGTAACTTTGAGCTGTCATTTTTGTGATAACGCACACTTCTATATCAGCAAACTAAATGAAATGCATTTAAAATATGATTGTGAGCACAGCTTATGCATTATTATTGTTATTATTATTATTATTATTATTAAATAAGTTATAGCAAACTAGCAATAATACGGTAGTTGCTGTATTGTAATAATTGATTAGCGAATTTGTAACAACAATAGTGCAAATAATAATAATAATAGGCCTGTTATTATTGTTGTTATAATTAGCATTATGTTATAATAAACTAAATAGACTGTATCATCTTCATTGTATTATTATTATTATTACCACTATTAATAATTTCTAATGAGTTTTTAACAACAATAGTAATCATTTCATCAG